TCTCTCTCTCTCTCTCTCTCTCTCTCTCTCTCTCTCTCTCTCTCTCTCTCTCTCTCTCTCTCGCGTGCAAAAAGACACACCATCTGTTAGGATTGAAAGGTGAAAGGTTTGTGTGAGACTGTGAGCAAACAACTTTTGAACGAAGACAGTGAGTGAAGTTAACTGTTTTTCTGATGACGGCCGTGAGTTAGAAAAGTTAACCACTTTTCTAACTGACTCAACCCCTGCGAGAAAACTGGCTAACTTTGAAGGGTGGTGCAGTGAGCGCGCTTACTACCGGTTAACCCTTCTCACTCAAGTGCCTCCTGAGTCCTGAGGAGAGCGTCGGGCGTTCGACCTCTTCTTGATGACCAGTTAACAAAATCCCAACAAGAGCAAGACCTTCCGGCACAGTCATGCTTATGGAGTTGTGTATGGCGAACTCGACAACACATACGAAGACAAAAAGGTTGTTGGCTTTTGATATTTTCGCATTTAGTTGGAATTGTTTTCTGTGTATTATGTCTGACCGAGGCATGTACTTATTCCAAGTCTGATGTTGAAGTCTCTGAGTATTACCGTTGCGCCCTACCGTCTTCACCCGGATAGAACTCCCGGTCATTATCACTGTACCTAGATTGAAGGTTGCCCCAAATACAGCCATAATGACTGGGCGACATGGGCTTTCTATTCAGGTGACAACGACAGTAGGGTCAAGCGGATTATACCCAGTTTTCGTTCGGATCAAATGATGACTACAGTCTTCACCCGAATAGAACGCCCGGTCATTATAGCTGTATTTGGTGCAACCTTCAGTCCAGATGCCACGATAGTGACCGCTTTTTCTATTCGGGTGAAGACAGCAGTGATTCTACACACACACACACACACACACACACACACACACACACACACACACACACATACTCTTACACACACACACACACACACACACACACACACACACACACACACACACACACACACAGAGCACGGACACTCGATCAAGGTAAGAGGTGATTGTTTTCCGTTGGTCCCCTCCATGTCCTTTTTCTTTTTCTCTGACGCGTCTCCTTGTGTTTCCCTGTGTGAACCCTGCAGGCAGACTACTCTCAATATTTCGACAATCGTGGCGAGCCTTCGTTATCACAGCTGTGAGTCTGATGTCTGACTACCTAAGTGAATGTTGAAAACAGTTTCCTTTTTTTCATGGTTTCGTAAACTTCTTTCCCTTTTTTTTTTTTTTTTTTTTTAATTCTTTCCCTATTTTAAATGAGAGTTCCCAACTTCTTTGATGAAATTTTAACTTGAAAATTGAAATGCAAGCCTGATGATGATGGTATCATTTGGTATGCACTCTCCTAGAAATTTTGACTTGAAAATTGAAATGCAAGATCCACAGGTTATGAGTTCGAACTTCGAAGTCCAAACTTCTACGAGTGCAGATGTTGTTGAAGCCTTGATATTGGAACCTAACCCCTCACCTTTTTTTTTTCTTTTTTTTTTTTTAATATATTTACAGAGCCTAAAGCATGGGCTCCATATCCATTCTGGGGAGCATCAGTCCGGCTCATATTCCCCCGGAGCCCAATTTCCCCTGGGCCCGGGGGAACAGGAGCCAAGTCAAGAAAAGAAATACACCATGTTTGCAATCCAAGGCTTCTCTCCAACGCTTCACTCAAACGTAGATGGTGTATTTTACGTTTTTTTTTTTTTTTTTTGACTTTTTTTTTTTTTTTTTTTCTTGGTTTTTTTTTTTTTTTTTTTTTTCCCTTTCTTTTTTTTCTTGACTTGTCTTAGACAAGTGGAGAAGAAATACACCATGTACGCACTCCAAGGGCTCTCTGAACATTATGGCTGAGAGACCCGAGTCGGTGGCATTTGCTACTTCCTTCCTTTAGGAAGAATGTACACCCACGAGCTACCACCCCATTACCTTTTTTTTTCTACCCCTTTTTTTTTCTTCTTTTTTCTTTTTTTTCCCTCTCTCTCTCTCTCAAATTCAGGCTGATGTCAACTTCATCACTCTCAGGTACTTCGCTGCCTATCGTACATGCGATGATCTGTCCCTTTTCCTTTTTTTTTTCTGTTTTTCTTATTTTCCTTGTTCTTTTTGTTTTGGACTCTACGACTCCCGTGCCTCTCTTTCTTTCCGGCCCGTTGCTGGGTCAGCCTCCCTAAGGGCAATTTTAGAAGTTTTTAACTTTTCTTATTATTTTGCGGAATTTCATCCGCATTTATATTTGCTTTCTTCCATCCTTACTCAGTTTCCACCTCTTTTGCACCTGGCTTTTTTTTTTTTCCCCCTCAAATAATTTTGACCATTTCTCAGTTTAGAGTCTTTAGACGTGTCATCCTTGTGACAGGGGCCATGCCTAATCTTCCCTGTATCGTCGCAATCCTTTTAACAGATGTATCGAAAGACGAGTGCCGGGCATTCTCCGGTTTGTCTTGAAAATTTGAAATGCTTTCATGTTCCATAACTTCCATATGAGCTCTGAAATGTTTTTCGCAAAAAAAAAGGTTTTTAAAAATGCTTGCTGGTTGAGACTTTCATCTGTATCGACTAAGCATGCAATCTGAATGTGGATAGTATACAGTACTATATACGGACTTCTGATCTATTGAATGTATACTCATTTGCAAGTACACTGACGTGCATCCATTTGGAAAATTTGAAGGTTTGCTGGCGTGTACCCATTTTAAATGTATGCTAACATAGGAGGGGATACAAAAAAAAAAAAAGAAGATGGCGTGTACCTAGGCCACCAGAGTGGCCGGAGACCACTTGCCCGGCCTGGCCAAAAAAAGAAATAATAATAATAAATTATTAATAAATATAATATAATATTATTTTAATATTTTGTGTTTTATTTTAAATTTTTTGGTAAAGAATTTCGTTGTGACTCTGAGGCAAAAGTTGTTCAGTTTATTTTTCTGCATAACATAGGGTTTTTTTTTTTTGGGGGGGGGGAGGGGAGGAGGGAGGGGGAGGGGGTTCTTGGACCTTTCCTGGTCCTTGCACGGCCGGGCCACCCGGGAAAATAGGGTGACCCTGGCGGCCCAGCTGGTAGCCTAGACGTGTACCCATTTAAACTTTAAACCTGTGCTGGTAGGAGGATACAAAAGAAAAGTCAATATAAAAAAGTAATAATAAATAAATAAATAAATAAATATAAATAAACTGTATGCTGACGATGTGTACCCATTTAAACTTTACACCTATGCTAACGTGCTCCCATTTGAATGTATGCTGATGTGTACCCATCGGAATGGACGACTATGTGCGGAGGTGTCCTACAGGCTGGAGTTCTCCAGATTCAGCTTCCAGAGTGTGACAGTAAGTTCGAACTGCCTTGTCCTCATCTTGGCGAGAAAATTGCCGACTAGCACAAACCAGACGATTTTCAAGAAAATATTTTTCCAGAAGAAGAAGAAAAGAAGGGGAAAGAAATCAGGATGTTCACAAGTCCACTTCCCTTTGCTGAGTGCTGAGCCCACACATAGCCCAACCGCAGACTGTGGCCTTGAAACCACTCTGAAGAGTCTGAACTCCCACGTAAGCCCTAAAGGGCCTCGACCCCAAGTCTCCCTGCCAAGCGCATCGGATCCCTCCAAAGCTGGCACACTCAGTCGGAGTAGCGAGCATTTGGTGCATTCCATTCTTATTCATTTACTCCTGCGTGGTACGGCCGGGAGGGCTCTGTCTCTGTAGGAAGCGGATACCCTCGACGCCATGGCCCCTCGGACCACTCCAAAGCTCCATATAAACCCTAAACCCCAAAGCGCATGGCCTCTGGCCACTCAAAAGTTCCCCCCTAAACCCCTAAACCTTAAACCGTAAACCCTATGTCCTGTAAACCTTGTACTCCGGTCCTTTGCAAATTAACCGGCCAACAACCCCCTTGATGAGCAATCATTGACAACCCCTTGAAGAGCACTTGCGGCTTAAGATACCCTCGATGGCTTTACTGCACGTGGTCCCCTACCACGTCCCTGACCCGCGGAGACTGTGTTTTACATTTTATTTATTTATTTATTTATTTATTTATTTATTTTTAATTTGGACCATTTCTCGATGTACGTGTGTCATCCTTGCGCAGGGGCCATGCTAATCTATCTTCTCTGTATCATTCCAATTTTAATGGATGTCCCGAAGGACTGTGTTTTACATTTTAATATTTGAAGTTTTAAACCACCAGTACTTGGCCTAGCTATCCGCCATGGAAAAAAATAGAGTAGAAACGTTTCTAGTCGGATGAATTTGGGCACTCCTGTAGGGGATTCTGCAGACTGTTGAGGGTTCAGCCTCCTGATGAGTCGGTGAAACTCTGACAAAACAGTTTGTCACAGCCCCTCGTTTGATGTCCCCTTCTCCCTCTCTCTTCCTACGGTTTACCGGGCAGTTCTGTTTTATGATATATATATCGTTTGTTGTCCTCTTCTCGCTCTCTGCCTACGGTTTACCGGGCAGTTCTGTTTGTGACAATATATGCTACGACTTCGCTAGCTTCCTGCTACGGACGATATATGCTACGACTTCGCTAGCTTCCTGCTACGTTTTTTTCCGGTCAGGTCGAGCGGCAGTGGTCGGGGCCGTTACTAGGCGGCCATGCTGTGCCTCTAGTGCCAGCGGCGTGTCTGGAGTGTATTTTTTGGCTGTGACAGACCTTTCTTTGTT